GGAAATTACAGGAATTACTTAAAATGAACAGAAAAATAATATATATATATATATATACAGTGGTGGCCAAAATTGTGGACACTTTTGGAAATTTTTGTTTTTGAGTTTTGTATACTTACAGAAAATGTTACGTTTCACAAAATGCAAACTTGTATATATCATTTTAAAGAGAATTTATTACTGAATTCAATTATTTGCAATACAAAAAAGTTAAAACGATAATAGTTATCGATATACATTAGATAGTGATGATTGCAGTGAGATATCAGTACTTAGTAGGGTATCCTTTATTTTTGATTACAGCTTCACATCGACGTTTCATTGAGCTGACAAGAGTTTTAAGCTCTTCTTTCGTTATTATATGATGTCAGAAAACAATTATAGCCTCAATTAGTTCCCTTTTATTTGATGAGCGCCTCATTCGGACAAGCGTTTTATAACGGTGCCACAAATTTTCGATAGGATTGAGGTCAGGACTGTTTCCTGGCCATGACAACAATTTAATGCTCTTTGTAGGAAACCACTCTTTCGATATTTTGGCCGTGGGGAACAGAGCAGAATCCTGTTGAAAAATAAACGAGGCTTTGTTGGAAAAGAGATCTCTGATGGAAGGTAGAAGTTTAGGTTCTAGAATAGTGTCAATGTATTTTCTGGCATTCAGTAACCCATCGATGACATGAAGGCAACCAATACCATTTGCTGACATGCAGGACCAAATCATAACACTAACTGGGTTCTTCACAGTTGCTTGAATGCAGTCAGGATATAGCTCTTCTCCTATTCTACGTCTTACATATTTTCGCCCATCACTACCGAATAACGATATCTTAGTTTCATCACTCCATATAACTTGTGACCACTGATCATCTGTCCAGTGTTCCTTTGCCCACTGTAGTCTTTTTTCGTTGCTGAAAATTAAGATAAGGCTTTTTTCGTGGAATTCTATCTCTCAGTCCAACATCTGTTAATCTTCTCCTGATTGTTCTTGAACTAACAGAAACACCAGCATCATTCAGATCACTTCTGATGGGCGCTGATGACATTTTTCTATCTTGGAGACACAGTCTTTTTATTCTTCTGTCATCAATAGATGTGGTGCACCTTTTTTGGCCTTTTCCTTCTTTGTTTTTTTATTGAATTTGTCTCTTGATACCGTAAACAAAACTTTCGGACTCCAAATGTAGTCACTGAACCACCCACCTATCTTGCAATTTCAGCATAGGAAAGACCACTTTCTTGTAACACAATAATATTACATCTCTTTCTAGGTGTCCAATCTACTCTTTTACACTCATGTCCATAAATTAAGGATAATGCAAAATCAGGCAAAGGAAGAGTTAGAAGCAAAACAAATTTGACTTATTTATTAGACAAAAGGTAAAGAGTAAAAAAAGATGCTACATGTTCGATATTATTAAAACAATTAGCGATTTTTTCTCCCTGGAGCAAATTACAAAAAAAAAAAAAAAAAAAAAAAAAAAACTATTTACAAAAAACAAATAATACATGGTTGGTATGATTGTTAATACATTGTATGTCTCCTCGACGATGCAATACAGTCTGTACAACGCCTAGGCATGCTGAGTATCAAATTATCGATCTCATCTTGGGGGATATTACACCACTCAAAAAGCAATGCTCTCCGAAGTTCCGGTAGACATGTAGAAGGAGGTCGACGGGCTGCAACTCGTTGGACAAGCATGTCCCACACGTGCTTTACTGGATTCATGTCCGGGGGAGAATGCTGGCCAGTCCACACGGGCGATATCCTCCGATTGAAGGCATTCGCTTACGATGTTTGCACGGTGAGGATGGGCGTTGTCATTTATAAACACAAATTGTGCACCCATGGCGCTCCGAAACAAATGTACATAATGTTCCAGAATGACGTCCCGATAGATTTGGCTTGTCATGGTTCCAATTTGAACATGCAGGTCAGTTCTGGAGCCCAGAATAATGCCACCCCAAACGAGTACTTCTGCACCACCGTAACGGTGTCATTCAACGATATTTTCTTGGTGGTAACGGGTACCTGGAGCTCTCCATATGAAAGTCCGACGAGAACCAGACTGCAAGCTAAACCTGGACTCGTCGGAAAACATCACACAAGCCCACTGTCGCGGTGTCCACAATGCATGCTCTCTACTCCAGGCTAACCGCAGGCGACAATGAGTTGCAGTAAGTGGAACGCATCTGACAGGTCTACGAGCGTATAGACCAATCTGCCCTAAGCGTCTGTACACGGTCTGCCTTGAAATTGTCGTACCAGTGGCTGAAGAGAGCTGACGAGACAGAACTGAGGCTGTGCTCCACCTGTTTCTTTTGGCAATATCTGCCAAATACCGGTCCTCATTCGGCGTTGTAACTCTGGGGCGACCTGTGCTGTAACATCTACTCACCTTACCATCATCTTCGAATCGTTGCCAAAGCCTGGAGATGACACTCTGGGCAATTTTAAGTTCGTCTGATACTTCCAGTTGTTTACACCCACATTCCAGACGGCCAATAATTCTACCACATAAAAAATCCTCCAAATGCGTCCTTTGTGTCATAATTATTCGGTTATTGCACTGAAATGCTTATAAAGTGCCTGTGAACAATTTTACTTCTTTGCCTGTATTCCTCATATATCACTCTCTTACACTCTCGTCATTGTGATTACTTATTATTTATTTTAGAGTTTGATTTCTGCGTGACTCCGAATTATCCTTAATTTATGGACATGAGTGTATTTGATGTCATTGCTTCTTGACTAAATATTAAAAATTTTTACAAAAATTCCTACTTGTAATTGCAGAGTATAAGAAACAGGTCCTCCTTCTACAGAACAAAGCAAAATAATGAATTGTTTCAATTGTATTCATGATGTCAGCTTCTACTGGCAGTTACTAACATTTCATTTTTTCTCAGAACAAGAACAGTGATTGGCCAGGAAAGCTAGACATTACAAACCACTTCATAACTGTGTTTTTTATTTATATTAAAGTACATATAACTTTTTTTGTATTGCAAATAATTGAATTTTGTATTCATTTCAGTATAAATTCAGTAATAAAAGATATAAAAGATATATTGCAAGGTTCCATAACGTAACATTTTCTATAAGCATACAAATTTCAAAAACATAAAAATTTACAAAAGTGTCCACAATTTTGGCCACCACTGTATATATATAACGTAATATCCATAAGTTTTTTTTTTTAAAGTCAAGAAATATCAAAGTTATAACTAAAAAATTTTTTAAAGTTTATGTCCAATTAAAATGAAAATACGATCAAAATGATCATTTGCACGGTGAGGACGTAATTCTAGGTTAACGCAACGAGGTTCTAACCACAAACTTCGGAAGAATGATTTAAGTGCTGGCAACTGTTCAATACCACCTTTAGCTTTATACAGAAGTATGTTTAAATGAAATTACAAAACTTTATTAATTAGTCCAGAAGGACTATTAATTTAGTTTTGGCATTTTGCATTGATTCTCGATAAGCGTCATTTCACTTTTCAAATTGTTGCCACCAAATATTAGAGCCGTGTGTTATATTTAAAGAAATTAAATAATGAAGAATCTGCTCGAATGTGTCGATTTGACTGGTGCAACTGGGTGTTTGTTTAATGTTGAAGGTAACTCTGACTTTCTGTCCAGTATTGTTTGGTTCGACAAGGTACTGTTTCAGCATTCTGGATTATTAAACCGACACAATGCCCATTACAGGTCATTGGAAAACTGCTCGTTGAGACTATTCCAAAGACACCAAGTGCATTGGTCCATGAACATGTGGTGCAGTATCTAAAAGGATTGCTCACTGGGATCTATGTTCCATGAAGGTACATTAAATGAACAAAGGTAGCTCCAAATATTACAGGAGTGACTTTCTAGATGATATTCCCGTCCACATTACGATCTTGTGGTTCCAAAATATCGGAGCCCCTGCACACCAGACAGCTGGAGTGCAAACTCTTCTCAAACATTGTTTTGGACAACAAATTATCAGATATGATGATTGTGTTGAATGGTCTCCCCTTTATCTAATAGGGAGAAAGTTTAATAAACTGGATTGATTTAATCTATAAAATCCAATATGCATTCTGCTTTTGTTGCAAACTGTTTGCTAAGCAAACTAAACTAAGAGAGTCAGAGGATTTTCACACTGACAATATTTAGCCAGTGATTTATCAATACATGAAGTGGGTATAGAATATTTGCAGAACCATAATAAGTAGCATGAGCTGAATACCTTGGCAACAACTGTACAGTTGACAAACAACAGGAATAGTGCTTTGGAAAAAAATTAAAATACAGAAAACAAATCGAAATTTTCTAAAGGAAACAAATGCTGGCAAAAATTGGCCTCATTATTTCACTGCATGTCAATAATTTAACATCATCATTTAGGATATGCTTTCCAAAATGAAGTTATATCTATATTTTCACAAATGACAGTCAATGAAAAATAAAGAAATCGGCAAAAAATACTTCTCAGTAATTCTTGACTGAACACCAGATGCTGGTTATTATTAAAGAGATATTTATATAAAATGTAAATATTGGCATTTGTGATACTAAATGTTCTAAGATTTATTTCTTAGATTTCTATCCAATGTCAGACCAAAATAAGGTCTATACAACTATCTGCTAAATTAACTTTTAACAGATTATTAGTTTGATACTCAAGATTTATGAGGCCAAGGATATAACAGCACAAATTTAAATAACAAGAATAGTGGAATGAAAAACAAAATTGGAAATATAACTCATATTGCCCCATTTTTTTTTATCTCGTGCACCTCATTCACTGAATTTTTTTGTTAATGCCACTGCCAAAATATAAATTTCCATCATTCACAGTTAATTAGCTTTTTAGACAGGGCTGTTTATATTTATGGATAATTAAGAGTTGCTGAACATAGAATATTATACATTTCAAGAGCTAAAGTACACTGCATTCTTAACAGTGCTGTGGTAACCATCAATCTTAAACAAAATGAAAAAAATAAGAGACTGTAAAACTTAGCTTTTTATTAACTTTAAAAATTTCAATATCCAGTAAATGAATACTATTAACAAACTTGCCTCATTACCGTGCCTGGACCATTATGAAGTTACAGAAGATCAATAATGATATGCTTACAATGACAGAATTGCATTCACTCAAATAAAAATCACTAATTTTATGACTTAACAGTATTAACTCAAAGTAAATACAACTAAACATCAATTAAGAAATTAAGCATAATGAAACACTTGAATTGCAAGATATGTTAGATGCAGCAAGATCATAAGAAACAGATAAAACTAAATTTAAAACATATTAATTATTTTGATTCAAATAAATGCATGCAACACAGGAGAAACAGAAAAAAAAGGGGGGGCGGAGGAAAACAGTTACTGAAATTGACCAGCAATTTTAGCTGAAATGCTGATATTATTTTTGGCACAGAACTAAAACTGAAATATTACAAATCAATGTTGTTGCAAAAACATTTATTAAACACTCACTAACATATCCTGCCCTTTTTCCTAGAGAAATACAATACTGTACTGGCACAAAACAGCTCATAAATAAAGACTAAAAATTAAAAAATTAACAAGTGTTTGATTGTGATTTAATGTCTATAAATATTTTCATTTTTTAACATTTAATATGGGATAAGTCTCTTTTATACCAAGTTATAAAAAAATACAAATGAAAATTTAATTCCTTATGTGCAATATGGAAACAATACTACTTTTGCACACTTAATATGAAGGGGAAACATTGTTAAAAACAGAGTTGGTCATGTGCTAAGTTTTACAAACTACAAGCCTTTAAACAAGCTCCTGTGAGTTAGAAAACAGATTTAAAACATATTTAACAATAGATATATATATCAAAATACAAGGCTTGGAAACTGCATATAAAAGACTAATTTGTAAACTACGTACAAGGCAAAAACAGAATTTGAAGTAAAAAATATGAGTGCATAAATACATACTTCAGCTGATGATAGCCTAGATAATTCATTCTTGTTACTAAGCTTTCAATAAGCTTCAGTACATACTCAACTAATCATGTACAAAACCAATTACAGATGAAAATAGCTCAATTCTTAATACTGTAAGTACGCCGGGCTCAAAATATTATGAAAGCATTAAATTTCTAGGAAAAATGTATAAAATTATGAAAGTTCAGATTTTCCTAGCAAACATAGTTTATGGATACAAAGGCACATTGTAATAGGGTATGATAATCAGGCAATATTAATTCAACATTTTACACTTTAAAAAAATGCCAACTTAAAATTTGCTTTGTTCGTAAAAAAATATATTCTCTCTGCTACTCCTTTTCTAAAATAGTTTCTTTTTTATGAATTTCATTGCAATTTTACAGAATTTCATTGTAGTGTTCATAGTCTTTCAAACTCAAATGGAAGTTATTAATTTTTTTAATAATACAGATTACACAAATTAAAATTCAGATCTAGTCTGGAGAAAATCGAACTCCCTGAACTAAAAATGTTATGTTTTGTGAAACAAATTGAATTAGATATGGAATGTATGCTATGAACTGCAATGATGCCTCTTTTGCAAATGCTTTCACAGTTAACATTTTCAGAAATAACAGTTAAGCCCCCTAGTACATAGCATTCACTATTCTTGATAGAATGAAGTACGAGGACCCTTCAACAAAATCAACAATCTTTTACATGTTTTCGAACTGATCCACTCGTCGCTTAGTGTTGCCCTTTCGAATTTCACGCAGGGTCTTGTATTTGTCTCGTCCTTGCCTTACATTTTCTTGATGCAAGAGATCGTTCTTAGTTAATTTAGTTTCATCCTTTGAAGATGCAAGTTCTTTGCTTAATTCCTGAAAAAAAGAAATAAAAACTTCAAGCTAACACAATAAAGCTTCAGTCTTACAGATATTAAGTTTTAAAGGTAATTCTGTTCATTATTCAGATAAAATCTAGTCCGGAATTTGTTAAAATTGTATAGTCCGGAATTATTTGTTAAAATTGTATAGTCTGGAATTATTTGTTAAAATTGTAATCTGATGAAAACTTAAATATTCACAACTATGAATTTATGCAATTTGATTTTCATACTTTCCTGAAAAGGCAAACAGGTAAATAAAAAAATCCACAAAATCTCAAAAACCTGAATATACAATCCAAGTAAAGGATCTCTTGCAGAGATGGCTATCGGCATATTTAATACTGTTTAATTATATTCCAGGAAACACTGATCACTTTCAGAGGAATTCATTTTATCAGGAAGTGTAATAACGACATAACAAATATTTTAACTATGCTTGTCTTAACCTGGATCATAATTTTCATTAAACACTAAGGTATTTTTGATGGGGTTTCAAAATTCTTGTTACTTCAGCCGCTGTGAAAACAAATTACAATTACAAGTACAGGTTGAACCATAACTGGCACCTATTCATACAAATTAGGCAAATTAAGTATCCTTTGCTAACTGCCCCTCTTCAGATGAAATTCCGAGGCTCTCCCAAACCATCTTCCCTATCAGCTGGAGCCTATCTCAAGCCTTGAGATAGGCTGAACACAGAATTTAAAGCACATTAACTGATACATCTCTCACATGAACAAAATCACAGCTTTTGAGATAACCTTCAGCCTATCTCAAGAGGACATTTTGAGTGCCTCCTTGCTGCACACACTATATTCTTATAAATATCCATGCCCTCTCCAGGATCTGAACCTTTCAATATGACAGTCAGTGTCACTAACCACTGTTCTACCTGGGTTGCAAACCACAATGACAGTATGGCTGACTTAAAAATCTCGGAGAATACTTAGAATTAGACTCAAAGCAGTTACGAGAAAAAACAAAATTGTAAATACAGGTAAAAAGAAAGCTTCATAGGAACAAGAGTTTTAACATCACAGTTTAAATATTCCCCAAAGCTCACCTGGCTCAGTTACAAATGTTCAGGATATGACCCTTTTGTAACATGATATATCAACCTACTTATCCTACTGTCAACATACTTATAAACATGCAAGAACCATGTTCTGGTCAACTGAACAACTAATTCAACTAATGTGCAAAGGCAAATTTCCTCACGGCCGGGTGTGTCATATAAGAATTGCCATTTTATTCACTCTACCAGTCGGGCATACCACATTTGACTTTTAGATAGAACGTTTAATTAATATTTTTTGTTGCCACTAGATGTAGTTGTATGCCTGTTATAGGGAAGTATGTTTACCTTCATTCCTATGCAATGATTTTTATTTTTCGGTATTTTGTTTCGGAATGAGAGAGATTCCTGGGTGGGTGTTGAGCAATGTAATGTCTCTTTAACTGGGTCATTTGATATAAGCAAACGCACATGCTGCTGCATTGAGGTACTTTTTATTTTTGTTATATAGTGGGATAGACCTTCTATCATTAGAGATTTTTTTTAATTACTCTTATATTTTTCCTTTTTTTATTACTCTTGGATTTTTCATGCTTTGAGATGAATATTTTTAATCGTCAGCGAAAGTTATCTTTTTTTAATGGCAATGGCAAATGAAAGCAGTATGCAGTATCTAAATGTAGAATATACACACTGCTCATTCGTTAGTGTTGAGTAATGAAATAGCTTTTACTGTGCCATTTTATATAAACAAATGAACATGTTCTCGATGCTCTGGAATACTTTTATTTTTATTTCATTTTATGGTTATAGTGGAGTAAATAGATGTTCTATCATTAGAGACTTTTTTATTACTCATGAGTTTACTAGCATTAAGGACCAATATTTTGTATCGCTTAGCGAAAAGTTTTTTTTTAAATGGCAAAATGAAAGTACTATTTGACCATAGAACATATACAAATGCTAAATGAGTCAAATTTGCTGAGTAAAATAGCAGCAGATATTACATTCCTGTGACTAATGCAACGTTCGACTTTAGAAAACATTGCTTACTTTTTGTTGTTTGCTTGTTGAATTTTTATGAAAGACAGTTTTAATATTTTTTAATTTTAATTGTGTGTTGAGTTAAATAAAATCTGCGATAGTTTGGATATTTTCCCATATATATTTATTTGTGGGACAAGGGGAAAATTATATTACTCTAGCATGAGTATTTTATTAAAATTTTTAAGGAAAATATAATAATAATAAAGGCTTAAAATTAATTCTGACGACTACATGAATGTTCTCATAATGTACCCAAAATTGAAAAAAATTGGATGACAAATTTCATTTATAAAATTTTTTTTTCCAAAGTTAGGCTTAGCAGCGTAAATTGGCTGTCTCCACAGGACGACACATCCGGTTAATGCACCGTCCCAAGAGAATGCTTCAATAACAGAGGTGCTCGTCGCGAACGGGTTAATCTTTTAGGATAAACTGGTAAATTATTTCATTTCACTACTTGTTGAATTGCAGAGATCGATGAACAAAATAAAACTCATAGAAGAATTGAAGTCAGGAAATGATTGGCAAATTACTGCCACTTCTGTCGCCTAATGAAATTTCTGGTTAGAGGCAAGATCAAAGCAATTTCAAAATACTTTTCTGAAAATTAATAATTGTGATAATTTTAAAAACTACTCAAACAATTAATTACTCTGCAAATAGCAGAAACAAAACTTAAATATAAACTTTTCCCACAGAATTCTCCATTTTCAAAAGCTTGAATATTTCAAACTATAATATGAAGTTTAAATCTTCTCACAATTTTTCTAACAGGCTTATGAAATGGAAACTCAGAATATCTATTGTAGACATCTTATGCCAATTCAGAAAATTTAATATTCATGTGTTCAAGATTTTCGACTTTATAACCAAAAATCTTAGCACAACTGAATGATATATCACTGAGTACGCCATTAAAAATTAAAACACAATCAATTTATAACATTAAAAATACAGTATATATCAAAGCTAATTCTCATTTTAAAGGCAATATAGATTTTTTAAAAAAGAGGCTTCATGTTTGAAAAAGCTTACATGAGAAATAAATACAACAGAATATATTTTACTTTTAGCTGATCTTGTAGATGTTTTTCCTTTGAAACTTGAGTAATCCTTTCTTCTTCTGGTCTTGGCAAATTAATTGAATCATCACGCGACAACTCTGCACCTAAACAGAACAAATTTACAATTAACATTATCATTTTACATAAAAAAGTAACAAAGAAAAGTAAAAATATAATATATATAACAAGTTTTTACTTATCTTCCAATTATTTCACTTCTACACCGATTTGAAATTTAATAATAGAACTCGAACATACAAAGCTACTACTCATCGACTTTAATTGAAATGTTCATTAAAAATTATTTTTAAAAAGACAGTATAATTTTCAGAACACAAATTTCATTCTTTTCAGTATTTAAATGACAGATGGGCAATTACTACGCACTAAGACCAGCTCCAACCATAGATGATACAAACAGCTATGAATTTTTGAATGGCTATGAACCATAAATAACAATTAAACAAAATATATCATTTTCTAACTTAATACCATGGTTATTTATATATGGTGGAAAAGTTCAATGATCACCTAAAGCACCAAAAATTCTGTAACCAAAGCTGCTAAACATAGTAATTAAATCATTTCAGTCAAAAGTATTAAATAAATCATTTTCATAAATTTATCCTTTAAAAATTTATATAACTACTCTGAAAAAGTATGTACAATGGCCTCATCTTCATTTAGTAAAACCTCTACATACCAAATTCTCCATTCACCATGTCATCATTTTCTTCATGTTCATCTTCTTGTATGTTAAGGTGCTGAGGCGTTGTTGCATCCAGCAATGCTGCTGCAGCTTCCTGTTGTCTACGACGAGCTTCTTCAACTTCTTCCTGCAACTTTCTTGTCTCTTCATCCTTCAAGTTCACTTCCTCCTGGATTCGCTGGACTTCTTGCTGTTTTAGCATGATAGCTTCAGCCTGGTGGAAAAGAAAGTTACATTTAATTGAAAGCTAAAGTCGCATGTAAAATAACATAACAGGTATTTATCTTACCAATCTTGCTTTCTCTTCAGCTTCCATTGCTTTATCATTTTCAAGTTTCTTCAACATCTCTTCCAATTCATTTTGTTTTGATTCTAATTCAGCCTTCGACTGCTGCACTTGGCGTAACTGTTCTTCCAGACGGCGAATGCTTTCTTGAGCTTCCAAAAGTTCTGCAAAAGTTTAATATAAAAATTAACATCTTACAAAAACAATATAACAACCATATAAAATAAAAGTTTTATAGAATCTGGAGTACGAAATTTATTAACGCATGCACATTTTTAATACCTCAAAACAACTGCCCCCAAAAACCAGGATGTAAGACACGATTCAGCTACAATGTAAAATTAGGGGAAAATGCATATAAAATATGCACCAGGACAAGTAAAATACTAAATTCATATGTTCACAATACTGCCATTGTTTATTTCTAAACAGCTGAAAATGTTAAATAATTGATTGGACATTGATTATGAACAAAATAATTTGTTCATAATAAATGTTCATCAATTTGATGATACATTGTCTTGGGAACTACAGCTCACCCCAGGCATAACAGATATATTTGAACCATGCTACAGAGGAACTTTTAAAGAAAGCGAAAATTTGGTTTGATGTATTTAAAGATTCATTACCTCCAATCAGGTAAGACAAAACTGATTTTAACACTTGATGAAACAAAAGACTGATTAGCATTGCATCTCCCAAAATATTAAAAAATCATTAATGATTACCTGCAATTATTAAATTTCTTTTGTTTCTCAGTTTGAATTAATTTTACATGATAAAGCATTAAAAGTCACGGTTCATAACTGTTACTCTATATACGCATATCCATCTAAAACACATTTATAAGAATGAATAATCATTTTTAACATAAGAATAAAATACCAGAAATCAACAACAAAAAATATTGATAAATATACCTCTAATTTTTGTTTAACTTCCAAACGTGAAAATAATCCAATTTTATGTTGATGTGACGCAGGTTGTAGGAAAAATTTTATCTACATTTTGTTCCAAAACTGAAAAGGCTCCACCACTGTATCCTCTATAGTTTGTGCAAATAAAATTTATTTGACACATAGCAGCTTTGATATCCACTGAGCTAGGGAGTTTGCTTTCCACATGTTGCACACATGCTGTTTCTATAATATTTTCATCATCATAAAAAAAAGCTTTGATGATTTCTTGTTTTTGTTTTATGCCAGAGTATCTTCATCGCTCGGATTTATGCATGTAACATCATCATAAGCGCATAGTTAGGAAAACTACATATCACATTCTGAAAATACTGAAAAGCCATTCTTCCCCCCCCCAGCTACTTAGTGATATGCAGAACTTTGTTTGCATTATTTTCCCCTTCAACAACCTGTGCTTGACTTGCATACCAAAAAATCTAATTCTGTTATAAGACAGACATTTTAAACTGATATTTCATTCGCAAGTGAAACATAAACCGACTCCAAACGTCTCAGCTAAACAAAATGTTTAATGTTTATCTGAGACAAGAAAACAATCCATTCTAAGTTTTGATATCTGGGTGTGCATTCAATCAAAAGCAGAAACTTTTGGATTTGGAACCATAATTTCTTCCTTCCACATTCGTAACTCTTCAAATAATTTCAGCTTCATTCTTGACCTGTGATTACTTTTATAGAAAACATGAAGAATTTTTAGTTTTCAACTATCTTGGCTTTTGAGATTTTGAAATGTTTCAAAATATAAAATACTGCAATACTTGTCATTCATGCTGGCACACACAAAAAGAGTGATCTACACTTATGACAATTTTCTGCCAGATAAATTCGATTTTCAAATTTTAACAGCTGATCTATAACAATCTAAAACAGTTTTTTAACGGCGATTAAAATATCTTCCTTGTATAGGTAAGATACATCATCCCAAACACTTTTTTCCCATTTCTTATCTAATTTGAGAAAACTTCCCAATACTCTTGATGATTTTGTTTGACAGCGAAAGGAACCTGAAAAAAAACCACAGAATTCATACAAGTTCTTTGACTCAAAGTTCAGAGACACTATATAAGTGTTTTAACCCCTTAACTGCCGCGGGCGTATATATACGCCTTGATCAGCCGATGTGTTAACTGCTCCGGGCGTATATATACGCCCTTCCAAAATACTATCTTTTGCTTTGTGCTGCTACCCGCAAAATTATTCATAAAGCTTTGGAATGCAACACTACAATGACCTTGACAAAGTATGCGAAGAACGATACTACTTCAGAGAAGTGTGGAGAAAAATTAGAGGGATGTGTCTAAAGAGGTGAAAGTAATGACTGCGCGTTATTGGCTGGTGTTGTTTGAGTAAAATGTATTTTTTTTATTCTGTGTCCTGTCCTCCGTTTTCGTTTACTTTTTGTAGTAGGTTGCAGGAATAAAGAAATATACAACGGATGTTTCAAACCCATTTATCTTTTTTGAATTATTTTTTGATGAACTGCTTGTGGTTCATATTGTTACTGAAACTAATCATTTTGTAGACTAGTATATATGAGCCAACACCTTGCAAACGAAAAACCAAGAACAAAATCATGGCATTCAACCAGTTCTAGGCATACTGATTTCACAAGAAATAACACTGAAGCCTGATATTACACTTTACTGGTCTAAAAATGACTTGATCGAAACTCCATTTTAGGGATCTTTTTTATTATAAAAACATTTTTATTATACTTGCATCTTTTTATTATACTTTTACTCAAAACATTAAATTTTGTGCATTCATTTTTTTTTCTTTTTTTTATTTATGAAAGTAAAGTTTTTAGAAAGTAAAACTTGCCCTTATTCCCCCCCCAATACATCGCATAACTACGCTCGCCTGTGTGTGTGTGGGGGGGGAGGGAACCATTGCACAGGGAAATGAATCTTGTAAGTTTTCCGCAGCAGTTAAGGGGTTAAGATATGTTTATTGCATGTCTCAATTTTCTAAGAATTGACTGTTACATACAATCTAAAACAGCTCGTTTTTTAACGGCGATTAAAATATCTTCCTTGTATAGGTAAGATACAACATCCCAAACACTTTCTTCCCATTTCTTATCTAATTTGAGAAAACTTCCCAATATACTCTTGATGATTTTGTTTGACAGCGTAAGGAACCTGAAAAAACCACAGAATTCATACAAGTTCTTTGACTCAAAGTTCAGAGACACTATATAAGTGTTTTAAGATATGTTTATTGCATGTCTCAATTTTCTAAGAATTGACTGTTATATAACTGCCACGCAAAATCTTTGTTTAGGATTTATTAGACAGATAAGGTGGAGATAGAACAGTAACAACGGCATCTTTTGCTATCACAATAACCTAAATAAGAATGGTTTGATGATGTTTTTTACTATTCACTATTACAGAAGTTTTGGAAAATAAATTATGAAAAATACAAAAAAGTTTCAATCAATTATAACCATAAAGTTTGCAGTATCAAATTTTCATACACTTAAGAAGTTTGCTATAGCCACAGTTCTTATACATTTAGTGAAATCGAGGAGAAAGGTGTTATATCTGGGGGTTCATAATACTGATCAATGTAGTGAGGTTTGACTATATATATCAACTGGATATTAAAGCTTTGTTTGTTAATGGACACTGAAATATGATATTCCCATGTTATTATAAATATAAATTTATTGTTATGTTATTATAAGTACAAATATTACTGTTATAAAATCTAGGATAAGATACAGTACAGAAGTTCCCTATACAAAAAATGTTCATTGCAATTTTACAATATATGCTGTTATATGAACAAGAAAAAAAAAAGGTGTAACGAAGGTTTATAAAAAAGTGTAAGGTTCCATCCCACATGAACCCATAGTTTTGTCAGTTAAAACTGAATTAATGACAGAATTTATCTCATGATTCAAAAGGAACAAAATAGCAAGAAGCAAAGATATCAGTCTATGTTGCTGTACACAAAATACAGATTTATAGATATCTTGATTATTAGCTCAGACATAAATCAGACTAATTTCCAAAGCATCTGTCATACTGTTAAAGCTTGTAGCATTGCTAAAAGCCCAGCAGAATTTCATGTAACATAAAAGATGAAAAACTTCACCAAATTAATCCCTTTCTGCTATAAAATCTTCTAGACATTCACCTATGCATTGAAAATCAATTTTTATAACTATAATTTTTTTTTAAATATACCTTGGCTACCAATCTTTAACATTTTTAAATCGACAATGAACCTCTTATGCAGCTTCTCTTGGCTAGTAACTCTGGTATCTACCACTTCAAAACCAAAACTATCCTCATTATTATGCATCTAAACAGCACAACATTACTACTGATTAATACATAATTTGCTGGCAAAACTAAACTATTAGTACATTACGTACAAGATGAAAGATCTAACCATAAGCCAGTCTTTTTCTCTTACAAAATCTTTCCCAAGCATTCGTCTTTGCAATTTTAATATTTCTTTTATAACTTTGTCGAGCTTCTTTATAACACAGTATGGCTGTATGCCTTTCCTCTTGATCTCGCAATTTTTGAAATCGACGACTGAGAGCTCTTACTTTTTTCCTTTCCTTTGATAATGCCTTGGACCACCAGTTCAAATTTAGATTCCTTTCATAATTACTAGTTTAAACAGTACATTATTACAATCAATGTTAATAAATACTTCAGTTCAATAAAACTTTGTTTAGTGGGTGATAAAAATAAGAATTCTTCAAGAAAAAGTACAAGTACAGTCATGCCCCTGCATGTAAAAATTCAGCATTGAAGATTTCAATTATTTCTATACTGACTTTTTAAAATATCAAAAAATAATCCATTTGGATGTTACAGAACACAGTCATAATGAATTTTTTGCAAGCTAAACACGCCTAGATCTATCTTCTGATTGCACTTTTCAGTCAGCAGAAATATAGTTAGGCAATTCAACTAGTGTTTCATTGTTTATGGAGTGATGTGATAGACAATACACTGTTTACGTAACGCCTTAACAGAAATAGTGATAACAATACAATGACAGAAATAATTACTTTTGACATTTTTCAACAAACATGATACTAAATTTTTTTTCACTCCTATTTCATTGGCTCAAACTTTTGAAACTTAATTTCATGTATAACACATACAACAAACATATTGCATTTATTGGACGTATAAACTTTGTTTTATATCTATATACAA